GCAAAAAGAAAAGTTCATTTATTTATTATCATCATTATTTTTTTTAATTAACCGTCGGAGCATTTTTTTATTCATTCAATTTTAAAATGTCAGTGATGTCATCATTTCGTATAATAATAATAATGATAATGATAATGAATAAGTTAAACGAAAATTTCACCTCCGAAAAAAAATCAAAATTAAATAAAAGTAGGCAAATCCAAAAGCGAAACAAATCGAATTCGTCGTAATGGCTTCGACTTCATATTTAAAAAAGGAAATTTCCGTTCAACTGTTTTACGCATTTACGCGTTTTTTTGCTTTCACTATTTAATCAAACACACACACATTAATTCTTATGAAAGAAACCTTATTTTTTTCTTTCGTGACTATTATATATTCAGGTTGTTGTTGTTGTTGTTGTTGTTGTTGTGATTGTTGTGATTGTCTTTCGATTCGATTCAAGATCAAAACGACGAAATAACAACAACAACAAAAAAAACGTATCGATCGATAAATTTTTTTTCTTTTTAAAAAGAAAAATCATATTTTTTATACGTAAAAGTTACATAAAAGAGAGAGAGAGAGAGAGAGAGAGAGAGAGAGAGAGAGACAGAAAGAGAGAGAGAGATGTTTTAACACGTGTGAATGATTTTAAAACCTTTTTATTTTTTGAAACGCGAAATAAATTTGAAAATAAAAAAAATTCATAAATTTCAAAAAATTTTCTCTTTTTTTTCATCATCAATAAATTTTTATTTGATATAAAATTAATAATAATAATAATAATAATAATAATAATAATAATAATAATAATAATAATAATAATAATAAAACTAAAAAAAAAGAAAACCTAAAGGCAAAATGAATAATACGTCGAGAACAAAAGGTTTTCAATTTGAAAAAGCAAAAAATTAAAAAAAAGAAAAAATGGAAGAAAATTTTACCAGTCCTCCCCTCCCTTCCCCTCTGCCCCTTCCCTCTCCTCTCCTCCCTAATTTTGATTATTATTATTATTATTATCCACCATTAAACACGACAAGGCTACTTGTCGGAGTTTTTAAGTATTTATCCGAGGTTTCTACCCGATTCCTTAGGGACAAATACTCGAATTTCGGTGGTGCCACTTATTATAAGATAGCACCACATCAATTCTTGAAGGTCTTCCTGAGTCCGTCTTTTTCGATGGGAACGATTTGTCTCCTGAACTGGGCTCCGGTGACTAACATCTTTGGAGTGGCCAGGGTCAGAAGCAGTGAAATTCACGTTCTCGTCGAGCTGCCTCAGGTCGACAGTAGAACAAGATTTTGTTTTTGGTTCTTACTTTGTCTTGTTCTCATTTTTTTGCTCTTTTTAAGCCAACAGCACGTGGCGTTCTCAAACGGTCACCCATCCAAGTTTGCACCACGCCCGATGCTGCTTAACTTCGGTGATCGTACGGGAACCGGTGTGACCAGCACGCTATGGCCGTTGGCTTTTATTATTATTATTATTATTATTATTATTATTATTATTATTATTCGAACGTTATTTTAAAATAATTTTTCTCTTTTTTTTTTTTTTGTATTAATAAAAGCAAAATTTTTTACAATCGCCCTCGAGTAAGAAAAATTGGAAAATTTTGAAAATTTTTAACCTTAATATTTTTTTTATTAGTGGGAAAATTTTGTAAAATCCAATAAAAAAATAAAAAAGAAAAACTTTTAAACGTGAAAATCGAGAAAAAAATTTTTCTTTTTTGTAAGTAAAAAAAAAAAAATTTATTATTATTATTATTTTGTTTCTCTCGTAAACGTCATCATTGACCACCATCACCACTAGGTACAAAAAAAAAATTTTTTTTCTTGTTGTTTTTTTTTTTTTTTTTTAGATTTCTTGTACCGGTCAAACCACATTTTGATGAGGCACCTTCCATACAAACACAAACACAAACACACACACGAGCACAACAAGCACACAGTTCAACTTTATTATCACGATGATGATGATGATGATAATGATAATGATGATGCGGTTCCCGTTGTTTAAAAAAACCATTTCAAAATTTAATACAATTAAAATCAGGTTTTTTCTGTTTTACAATCGATGCCTAAACTTTTTCTTTGAAAAGAAAGTTCATAAACTAATGTTTTTTATTTTACGTTCTTTTGTGGATTTACGACTATTTCTCTCTCTCTCTCTCTCTCTCTCTCTCTCTCTCTCTCTCTCTCTCTCTCTCTCTCTCTCTCTCTCTCTCTCTTTCTCGTATTTAAACAAAAAAAATTTTGTTTTTACTTCATTAACCGTGAATTTAAACTTGATACAAGTGTCAAAGGTTACAAAAGAAATACAAATAAAATTTTTCTTTGCGAGATAAAAAGTCCCGATTTGATTTCCTTCACCTATCATTAATTAAAAAAAAAAAAGGAAAAAAGGAAACAAACCTCGAACGGTACCTGTTCATTTTGTCAATAAATTATTTAAATTTTTTCGATTTAAAAAAATTATCGCTCATAATAAAAACAAGAGGTAAAAAATAATGGAGGAACACATTCACCATCGTAGGAATTCAATAAGAGTTGCCAAGGTACGTCGTTAAACCTAGTTAATAAACTAGTGAGTGACACTTAGCGAAATAAATAACAGTTAATAATAATAATAATAATAATAAATACCTATTCGATTTATGTGATACCCGTGTGGGTGTCCTTAAATTAGTCAAAATCAATTTTAAATTCCATTTACGAAAAAAATCAAAATCAAATGTTAATTATGGCTCAACCCCGATTATTATTATTATTTCTTTTTCTATTTAAGGTAAACCCCCCCCCCAAAAAAAAAAAAAAAAAAATCTATTATATTCAATTAAAATTAGTTATTTATCATAGCAATTATCACCTCCCTCCCTACAAATACATAAAAAACGTATTAATAATAAATAACTCATTTTTTCCTTTCATCGAATATTTAAAAGATGTTTCACGGATCGATCGATAATCGATCCCCAATCGATAATCAATATAAATATTATTAATCAAAGTATTTGTTTATTATGTACCGGTATGGAAAATTTTTAACCGTCGCATAATTTAATAATTAATAATAACATTCATTTTTTTTTTTTTTTTTTTTTTTACGTAACTATCGACAGCAAAACCTCAAACTCAACCGCAAAAAAAAAAAAAATTTAACATAATCTCTTGTTTTAGAAAATTTCAAAGAAAACAAAATGGTTCTTTTTTTTTTTTTTTTTTTTTGAAATTTTTTGCGGTTCACGCATTTAATTTTAAATGTTTTATTATAATTTCATATACATATATACTTTTTAAATTATTTAAATAACTTTTTCCTTTTCGCCATCGCCATCGCCATTGCCACCAACCACACCGTAAAGAATTAATTAATAAATCATCGAAATTAAAAAACTGTGTTAAATTTGCTATTGTTTAAAAATATATTTATTCTCTTATTTAACGCAAAATACCTCATAGAGGTAAAAGTTTAATGAAAAATTAATAATAAATTTCATTTTCCAACTCTTTACCCTGAATTTTTTTTTAATTAAATATACGTTTAAATGCAATTTAATGATTTTGCTATAAAAACTCAACTTTGATTATCATATACGATGAGAAAATAATTTATTAACGAATGGCAGGTACACATACATAGATAAAAAATCTTCATTTACCCTTATAAGTAAATCTATTTCTCACCCACTTTCTAATTATAAATTTTATGCAAATATTTGCAGTCAAATAAATTAATTCATAATTTTAAAAAAAAAAACATTTAAGAAAATTATTCGGTGTTAATTATAATAATAAAGAAGCCGGTGAAATAGCTTACGAAAAAAAAAAAAAAAAAAAAATGAATATTTAAAATTTGGCACGAGGTTAAAGTTCAGCAAATTTTTTTTTTTTTTCTTTCAATTTATTTATTTATTTGTAATTTTCTCTAACAATCACCTTTACTACTATCTTATAGGCCAATTATTCATCTTTATTTATACATAAAAAGAAAGATTATCTTACGACGAGGAGAAAAAAATATTATGTAGGAAGATGTGAATATTGACATCCTAACCGAATTTATTTAAATAACAAAATAAATAAATAAATAAAGATGTAAATTAAAATTTTTCCAAAGGATTTTCATTTGTTATTAAACAAAAAGTTGAAAAAGAAAGAAAGAAATTAATTTTGAGTATTGAATTTTGATAACATTTAAAAAAAAAAAATTTCAAATTTATATAAATTTTCCGACCTACGTCACAAGCAGAAGATAATTAAAAAAAAATGTTTAAAATAATGTTTAATTATTTTATAAAGAATGTCAAACAATTAATTACTTTGAATGAATGTGATTGAAAGTAATTGTTAATAAATTTTTAAATTCAGACAACATTTTTACGCTCTAATAATTTTAATAGAAAAAAATAAAAAAATAAAAAACTAGTCCGAATAATTATGACGGCTCTATTCAAAACAAAAAAAAAATAAAATGGCACCATTAATCTTGTCAAATTTTTTTTTTTTTATTTTATACAAAAAAAAAAAAAAAAACTGACATTGAAAATCGAAATCAAATTTTTTAATCGCGGTATTATTTCACAAGTTAAAAAAAAAAAAAAAAAAATGATTACTAACAACTCAACATGATTTTTTTTTTTTTTATGTAACAAATTAAAAAATTTTTATGTAATTAATTTATCTAAGGTTTTGATGATATTTTACTTAATTAGTTGAATGTTGACAAAAATTCAACTTTTACAACTTGACTTATTACTTGGTATACATGAAATTTATTATTTATTGACTTTGAGTAAAAACAAACCTTGTTATAATAATCCTTTCAAAGGTTTTAATTCAATGGGTTACACCTTTTTCAATGTGTCAATAAAAAAATTTACTCATACAAACCAATTTGACAGATTAACCGAATGACAGAGAACCCGAGTACTTTTTTTAAATCAAATGAAGTAATGATATTAAATGAAACAGACAAAATTTTAAAATTTTCCATACAGTATAAAGAATCCCTCAAACAATATCTTAAACACATAAATTTTTTTTAACCTTAAACCCCAATAAAAAAAAAAAAGATTTTGATACAATGTAAGTGTTGTAGCTTGAGTTTGATTTTGAGAAAAATTTTTTTAATGAATCGTGTATTAGCTGTAAATTATTTTATGAAAGAGAAAAAAAAACGTGAAGATCACGACTAGAGTTTATTGAAAACGAGTAAAAACGTGGGCGATAAGTTTTAATTTAATTTTGACCCGAAAATAAAAGAAAAAAAGAAAATTACTTTGTACTTTTCCTAACCTCAATATTAAGTTTTTTATAACAAAAGAAAATAATAATTAATTAGTAACACTAACCTTCAACAACTTCGTTGCTGTTGTTATTTTTACCATCGTCATCATTATTATTAATCATAAAAGGACTTAAAAATTTTGATGTTAGATAAGTCAGGAATTCACTCAACTCGTCGATTAACCCTCTGGATTCAACGGTTCGATTTTGAATTTCTCGTACCATGTTAAAATTTTCATTTTTTAAATTTTCCAATTCTGCATCATCATCGTTGTTGTTGTTGTTAACATCTATATTTTTACCAGATCTTTCCGAAAATGTCGAATCTAAATTCGGTTTTAAAACTGTATTTAAATTATGTATATTTCGCGTCGTTCTATCTTCCATGCACTGTGTTGTTGAATCGTCATAAAATGTACAATCGATTAAATCTCTGAAAACACTTTTAACAACCATAACAGCAGTGTATTCTTTTGCCACGATTAAATTTGGCGCGAGAAATGTAAATAAACAAAAGAGTGAAACCCTCTCCATCATCATTTTCGACAACAAAAAAAATTTAATTTATGGCAAATAAAAAAAAAAGTGTCCAATATCACGCGATAAAAAATAAAAGAAAAATAAAAAAAAATTTATTATTTTCTTATTGTGATTTGTCGTTAATTAAATGAAAAACATTTCAAAAAATCCGAATTAAAAATTTTTTGCGCGAAGTTTTATTTATTATTGGCTTTAAAACAACTAAACAACACTTAGGTACATACACTTCACGTAATTATTAAAAAAGAACTAAACCCAAGTCCGTTTTATTCTTTAGTAATGTAAATTCATACCCAGATTTCCTTTAATAATTTTTTAAAAAACTGGCACAAACGACCGTTGAATCTGAAACCTGATAAATCCCATTTAATAGTCATCATATTTGATAACTTATTTTGACTAGTTTACAACCTACGACGACATATACTTTTTTTTAAATATGGCGGTGGAATGAATGGCGAACTTTATGAATCTTGATAATTCTTTTTTTTTTTTTTTTTGTTTTTAATGCA